ATGGGCGACATCATTTTTCAACCCACTTTCCTGCGATGTTGAAAAACAAGTTACTCGTTTTTGATGCCCCTTTTGCCACAGCTTTACTTTCCACTTACCTAGCGAACTTCATGATAAGCACATTTCAAAAGATTAATTTCTAAGAGGCACTAATAACATTATTTTCAATTATTGTTTATTTTTTGTTGAGCACTTAAGCAAAATTTTACACAACTAGAAACTTAATATGAAAATATTATAACTAAAGAACATAGTAGATTCATATTTAAATTACATAAAAATTGAAAAGGTTAAGCAACTACCGTATTGACTTACATTTGCTTCCCACTAAATATCAACCTGAAATCAAAAGCAAAAAAAAGAGCATTATCAGATTGCAACATAACAAGGTGCTCTACCTCAAAATTATTTGACATGGCAGGATTGTCAGAAAATTTTGAAGTAGAAGGCTGAGTTGCCCAAGTAAGCAGCCAGTCCAGGGATATTTTATTTAAAAAACGACATCCGTAAAGAAATGCCAAGCAGAGTAGCCCGCCGATACTATTAAACCAAGTTGGCGGCAATTTTTGCTGGTAGCTGGCTACTTTTGACAACCCTGCATGCTATTAGATTACCTGCAAATGATGCCAACTATACCATGTTAACTGAAGTGTTCTAGACTGAGAACTCATCTCCCTGTCTCCTGCACATGCACTGTCTCCTGCACATGCATGGTCCCCAAAGATTTCTCCATCATTACCATTGAAACAAACAAAGTATCACTTAAATCAATTTGTTCATTTCAAGTGTCTGATTCCCATAATAAAATTCTCAATAAAATCCGACGAAAATCATCTGGGGGCTGTGTTGAGAGTTGGGTAGGGTAGGGGCTTGTGTAATCCACAAAATCTCTACATTCAGGCCTCTAGGCTTGCAGGGTTTGTCATCTCTGTCTGCATCTACCAGCATTGACCATTAAGTACTGTTGGCTTAAAGTTTTTTAAAAACTGTAGTTAAATCTTTTCCTAGTTACGCATTTAATGGTCCAAATTGTCTTTTATGAAAAAAAAAGAAAGTTTGAACGCCAAAGCTTTGAAAGCTTAAGGAAATATTTTACGATGGTTTGAAAATAATTATTTCGAAATGTACAAGGATTTGTATGGAAAACCACTCAACCATGACTGGGTGGCAAAAGTTGTTGGCATACAAATCCTTCTAATTTTTGGCAGCCGTTGCAATCGCTTCTTTTGAGATATATAATTATACGACTGAAAATTTGCAGGTAAACCAAATATGCTCTTTCACGTCCTGCTAACAAAATTTTCCAAACGCGAACCATTTTTGTTGATCACGTGATCAAGTATTGCAAAAGGCCTATTCTTAAGACATATTTAGGCAAAGTCAACCTTGAGTCAGCTCAATGAACAGTGCCCTCATTACTACAGAGTACATGACCTTCAAGTTTTTACGGTTCTTGTGTATTGTATTACATGTAAGCTCTTCATTGAACCGATCTTTGCCTGATCCTGATATACCTCTTGTTTTGCACAAATCATCACAGATATATGATTTGAAGGTATTTCATATCTACTAAGTTTCTTCTTTTTTCATGGTCAATGTGATGATGCATGTTAGCCACCACTGCAGGTCTACCAGGGTGGTTTCCGCTTTCTCAATTACTGGGATACCTCTTTACTTTGTATTGCAACAGGCCCCCCTCAAACATTTAGGCACCGTTTTTCACACTTGTCAATAATATTAGTGATGAATTAACGACAAATAATTATTGATTGAAAATTTGCTCCGCTAAAATAAAGTCATTTGAAACTTTTCAGAAGAAGTCACTGAAGTATGTATTCTTAGTACTAGAGTGCTAACTCTTATAAAACTTTTTTACATATTTATTACCAAGTGGCTTAACTATTTGTCTCGAAGAACTCCCCCTCCCCAAAAAAAATTAATGATTTTTGGATTATGGTTTTAGCCAGTAATTAGCCTGGGACCAGGCTCCGCCGTGGGGAAAAATGGCCAAAAATGGAGTGAAACAATATGAGAAAAATCGGCAAGCAAAGCGAGCCAAGCATTGGACTAGTGAGGGTGAAAGGTGGTTTTACAGTGTCTGACTGGGGAAGGGAAGTGAAGTTTGATTAAAATTATCAGAAGGTTCAAGTAACCATAAGTTTGAAATACCAGTATAGTACTTGATAAGTTTTAACTTTTAAATTATATGGAAAAAGAAAATCTTTGATATAAAATTCAAATTAAAACTTTTCAGCAAAATCATCATGTGGCTTAACTATTTTGTCTCTCAGTATCTCAAAAAATGAAATTCAGGATTTTTGGAATATTGGTTTTGGCCAGTAATAGAAACGAATGGTTACAATGTGGCCTTAAATCCATTAACCACCAACCTCTGCTGTGGAGGGGGAATTCCTTCCTTTTCTTCAACACGTTCTTTTATTCTNTTTTGGATTATGGTTTTAGCCAGTAATTAGCCTGGGACCAGGCTCCGCCGTGGGGAAAAATGGCCAAAAATGGAGTGAAACAATATGAGAAAAATCGGCAAGCAAAGCGAGCCAAGCATTGGACTAGTGAGGGTGAAAGGTGGTTTTACAGTGTCTAACTGGGGAAGGGAAGTGAAGTTTGATTAAAATTATCAGAAGGTTCAAGTAACCATAAGTTTGAAATACCAGTATAGTACTTGATAAGTTTTAACTTTTAAATTATATGGAAAAAGAAAATCTTTGATATAAAATTCAAATTAAAACTTTTCAGCAAAATCATCATGTGGCTTAACTATTTTGTCTCTCAGTATCTCAAAAAATGAAATTCAGGATTTTTGGAATATTGGTTTTGGCCAGTAATAGAAACGAATGGTTACAATGTGGCCTTAAATCCATTAACCACCAACCTCTGCTGTGGAGGGGGAATTCCTTCCTTTTCTTCAACACGTTCTTTTATTCTTTCCACCTGTTTTGAAACGGGAGAAAAATTTTGAGAGATAAGATATTTTTAGATACTTTTCTTTAGTTTAGTAGTAATTAAAGCTCTTGAAAATAAAATAAAACTTTGAAAGTAATACAGTCCAAAAATGATTTTAACTCTAATATATAATCATTTTAATTCTTTTTCATGGCAAATCACATTTTCTGAAAATATAGCAAGATAAGTATTTTATAAAACCATCTCGGTTATAAACAATTACACCACTTGAACTTAAATGCACTGGCAATAGCACTACCCTTCCCTTTGACTTCAAATTCTAGATAATGCAGCAGTTTCTCTCAGCTCATGCATTCTAAATGCACTTAGCAGCTTCTACCGTTTTGACTTTTTGGGGATCTGTTGAGACCTAATGAGAGCTACTTTTATTGCAAATGTTTTTTACTGGTCTTGCATGAACATTTTTCCTCATTTCTCTGACACATATGAAAAAAAAAACAACTATAATTTTACTGAAAAGGAAAACAATGCAACCTGATACATTGCTCACAATATTATAGTACTCTTATACTGTTTATTTTTCCTCATTTCTCTGACACATATGAAAAAAAAAAAAAACAACTATAATTTTACTGAAAAGGAAAACAATGCAACCTGATACATTGCTCACAATATTATAGTACTCTTATACTGTTCTAAAGGTAGATGTAATCATTATCATTGTATCTACCTTGTCTGTGGGTTCAATATCAATCTCAATCTAAAAATCCAAAGAAAAAAAAACAAATCTGATTAAGATTTTATACAATAAAAATCTATCCAGGCCAGACTGGTTATTTCAATACAGTTGAGATTATACAAAATATATTTTATACAGCACCTTAGTTTCTCAAATCACAAGCATGTGCAACTGACACACTTTTGTTCAGTACTATATCTACTAGGTGTCATTTGAAATGGCATTTGTTCTTTCCTGAATAGCTTAACATGTAGTTCTGATTTACGGAATTCAACTGAGGATAATAACGTATTCAATTGCACTCTTCTTGCAATCTATAAAAATACAGTAAAAAGCTTCCAGAAACATTTTGTGAAACAACTTAAAACTTTGTTTAACTAAACTGATTTAAAGCATGTTTCAGCTTTGGGGTGAATGCGGCTCTAGATGACCAGATCAGTGACAGTTGAAATTTTTAAGAATTTCATATTTCTAAATGACGCCTTCAAAGAAGATAATTAACCAATGATATCATAGGGCCGGTGCTTTCCACTGATTAGTGAAAAGGACATGTGGATTCAATTCTCTGATGGAAAATGTTGTCGTTGAGGTGCATAGCGTGTTGAGTGAAATCAGAGTACACATATCTGCCTACCCGATCCAAAGAGACGTACGTTGTACATGTACATAAGGTTACATTACAACTTGGATTAAGTTAATTAACGTTTGTACAACTATAAAATTTCTATCAAGCAATTATGTTGCAATCAAGCTGATAAAGAAAGAGTTGATTTTTATTCTCTTGTCTTTATCGATAGCAGCATCAGTAGATAAGATCAGATAAATTTATTTATACACAAGTTTAAAAATAATCATTGAGAACTATCTCACGATAGGTAGGATTAATTTAAGACAGGAAAATGAAAATAATATCTTACCTCCTTTCCTGTCAGGGTCTTCCAAACATGGCAACAAAACATAAGAGAAAATAACGTTAAAACAATTAAAATAACGTCCAAAACGTTCACTGGATTATAATTACCTTAACTTTGATAAGCATGACGGAAAAAAATTCCTTTTAACTGTAAGAGACTGTAAAAGCAGTGAAAATGTGGAAATTCTACAGCTTGCTGATGCCAATGTGAATGTTAGTACTGATCGCTGGCTCAATGTCCTCTGAGAAGGAAAGCGAGGAAGCTGGTAACTAATAGGCTGTTCTCAGCTGATCAGTGATGTCTGCGGACTCTTCCCCCTGTTGGCCTCTTTGTCCTGGCAGCCATTTTCAACTGATTGTGTGAAAACACAGTCGAAGAATCCGTTTCCATCTTGTAAGAAGGAGCGGTTTTTATAACAGTTCATCATGTTTTTTACTTTAGGGAAATTTATGTTTCTATTTCTTTTAATTTTACCCTCATCGCTGGTCCTGATTGGAAATGGTAAGGCACTTTATCTTGCGTGATTTTTATTCTTTTGTAACGTAGGAAAGTCAGTCTGGATACTCGAACTTTTAAATCCCCTAGCGTCCAGTGATGTTTTAGGCATTTGGAATGATCGTACCAATGTAGAGCTAGTAACAACTTGAAAGTTGCAATTCGGGAGATTGTTTGGCCGACGAGAGTGTTTTATTTTCGACCTCGCAGCAACTCTCGAATCTTGCTTCTTTCTCTCTGTTCTTTGATGAACAGAAGTTGTTGTCTTTTCGTTGGGCGAATGATTTCCTTTGTTTTGTCTGAGGACTAAATCTTAATCAATAAACAGACCGTTAGAGAATAGCAGTTGAAATGTTATGCATACTTCTCTCACAATGTTTCCTGTTTAAAACAAACGTAATTTTATCTTCGTTTGTGTACGTGTCATGAAATCATTGGAACATAAACAGACATATGTGTGATGGCGCGAGAAGACGAGGTCGAAAATGAGCAAGAAGTTGCAAAACCGACTGAAGCTGAAGCCGCAGGAGATGAAGAATATGTTGAAGATGTTGTAGAAGAAGAAGCTGACGATGGAAAGGTTAGAGTTACAAGAGTTACTGATGAATGTGTAGACCTCTCCCCAGTGTCATTTTTATTGTTATCCTGCTTTTATAAATTGATACAGTTAAAGCTTTTATGTGAAGTCATGGTTCAGTTATTTTATCCCATACCTTTACTGCCAGTCTCTCTTAGGTAACTGCATTAAAGGGAATCTCATTTGTTGTGTTCATTTTCTTATTATTATAGAGATTGAATGAATGAAACTGTACTGGGTCATTGAAAAACAACATTAGAATTAAAATGAGCACTAAAGTAATGAAAGTATTTGTTTCAACAACCTGATCAAGCAACTTTCAATATTATGTAAAATTAACAAAACTGTAAATTCCTTTTACTGACTAAAATGCTCTGTAGACCTGTGGACATGTCTATCTTTTAAACATAGCTCACATTTTGAGGTATTTTTACACTATTTTGGGCTAATGCCCAGTTTCAAAATTGTTCTGATTCAAGCTATAGGTGTAATGTAATTTACTTCTGAAATTTAGCTGTTTTGCATTATTCACTCCTGATATTGTTGGTCTTATTTCATTATCCAAGCCTTACACCCTTATGTTATTGCAGTTCCCTATTTAAAATAATGCATTTTGACAACTTCATTTTAATTTACTAAGTACTAAAGGTAACTTTAGTTTTAACCCTTTAAGCTCAAATATCCACATACAAATTCTCCAAACTGATCTCTATACTTTTCCGTCAAGAATAAGTTGAGGGAATTTGATAAAAGATCAAGGCATTTTCCCCCAGGTGATCATTTTATTAATTCTCATAACCTAATCTCTTGACATTTTAGGGATATTGTTAGGAGAAAATTGACATTAGTCACTATTGGGACTTTAAGGGTTAATGGGTTTTCACATAAACAGTATCAATGGTAGTTTTTGTGGGTTTTCTCATAAGCAGTATCAAATGGCATTGAAAGCTCTCTAGTAATATTACTATCTAGGGATATCAACATTGTTCAGGTAATGTTGACAATAGTTGCCAACTGTTACATATAATTTACTGACCTTACTAGAGACCAAGTAACCCATATTCAGCTGTAATATTGAATGCTATGTTTGCACTATTATGCTTTGTTAAGATCATTACTTTTCATTGTATATGGGGGTGGTTTTGTAGTTAAGTATTTTTTGGTGGCAGAGTTCCAATTTCCATTAATTTGGCAAAAACAGGTTGACACTGAGGAAGAGGAGGAAAAAGAAGACAGTCCTGCCACAAAAGACACTGTAAGTAGTGATTTCATTAATAGAGAGATTAAGAGTCCCGTTTACATCAGATTCAAGTTGAGAATTTCTCAGAATAAAAAATAAGCAGATAAAAACTATACAGAACAATTCTTATGTATAAAACTGGCATGAAACTACTTGTTTTTTATCTGAAGTAATAAATAGTTAATGACAATTAAGGGAAGAACCTGGTCACGTGGTACAAATTCATATTTGCCTTTTGGCTTAAACGTGAATCTTAATCTCTCTAGTCATTGCTTTTTTTACATGCACCTCCTGTAGGTTCCAGTGAAAATGGCATTGTTTTATGTTTTAAATTGTAGCAACTTTGAGTTGACCATTTTCATAGAGAATATTCTGAACTGGCTGACAAGAATAATAATCTCAGTGTCTTGACTTAGAAATTTATTTGTTGAAGTTGATAAGACAACATTTTCAGTTAATTGTCAGTTTATTAAGTTTAAATGTTTCCTAAACAAAAATGTTAATGTTCGGAGTTGAACAATTGACCTAGTATAACTGTGCTGGGAGGAAAAATTGTGGTGAATTTCACAGCCCTGCTTTCCATAGTAATCTTACATGTAAGAGTAGAAAACCAATAATATTGCTTTCACATTTTCAGAAAACTGAGGCTGAAGGTGGTGAAGAAGAAGAGGAGAAAGAGGAAGCACTCAAGCCATCACCAGATGCTGATACTGTCATTCTTTTTACCAAGCCAGCCAACCAAGGTACATGATACCCTAATGACTTTCATTCTGGAACAAGTTCATTCCATTTCCATATATTTTTCTGTATTGTTTGCATGATACCGATCAAAATAACATTCCATTCCAATGGAATACAAGTCATTCTGTAATGAGTTCCTTTTGATTTTCGATCTGATGTGAAATTCATTCTGGTATCATGTAAACTGGAAACGAACTTTGTTCCAGATTGAAAATCATGTAGCCTTGGGCGAGAGTGGCGCATGCATGTCTGATCTGGCGCAGAAAGCCCATGAGCAAAAACACCTGAAGCTTTCTTAAGCTGAGCCAGTCGATTATTCATTCTGCAATGAAATTCATACCAGAATGAAAGTCAATCCAGTATCATATAAACAGCCCCTTACACACCTGCTCTTGTCACTGAAGCTTCTAAAAAGTAGAGATTTGTTATAAGGATGTTCATCATTTATTAATAGATCCAGATTAAATGCAGGACTCTCAGTAAGATCAACTTAAGACATTCAAGGCTGTGCTTTAAGAAAAATTGAAGGGAGCCTGTTGCTCTGAAACTGTGAAATCCAGGGTGTCCAGCTTATGATTTCTGTGAAAAAACTAAGATTTTCTAGTACGTAACCAAGGAGCCAAAAGTTAGGTACCAGGGGCCACTAGGTGCTGTTAGAGCACAGCCTGACATGGCTGAAGAACTTATTGTCAATAGGCCACTAACTGGATTAGGAAAAGGGCGCAGTCAGTCAGAAAAACTGTTTATGACTTTCCAAGTTGCAAAACAATTTTTGCATTCAAGTAACATTTCTTTGAAGTATTATTCTTTTCTTATAGAATATCCCGCTGGTGAGGTGATCAAGTGTCTTGTTGGTCTGGCAAATAATGGCAAGAATGATTTCATTGTGGAACTGGTAGAAGCATCTCTGAGGTAACTGCATCTTTTTCAGTTACAAAATCATAGGTAAAAGTTATAAAGTATGAAGTATGGTAGTGGTAATGCAATATTAGACTGAAATTTCCTTCCTCTTTTCTTTTGGTTTTTAAGAAGATCTAAAAGAAACTTTACATTTTGGAAAATAAAAAATGACCAGATTTAACTTAACTTGGGTATATGCTGCCAATAATAATTACGAGCAGTAGGAGATGAATTGAAGAGCTAGCAAAAACTCTTTTCATTTGTGAAAACTACAATCACAGACAACAGTAGTTGGGAAGGTTGTATAACTTAACGGTAGTCCATTTTAATCCTCAAAAAAGAGAGTTTTCTCTTTTGCTAAATATCTCCCGTCCTCTCTATTCAATGTTGGGATGTAACAGAACAATTACGCACACAAACATTAATGTTTTGATGAACATTGGGCCAGGGGCAGGGGGCGGGGGAGGGGGGAGAAGTAGAAAAAGCAACTTTCCCAACACTTTTGACGATGATTGTAGTTAAAACCACTCTTGGACTCATCTACTTATATACTTCCACAATAAAATTCTAGAACTTCCCAAACAGTCTAATTATAGAAAGATTACAAAATATACCGCTTTTCCAACACTTACAAAGTCCTGAAATAAACAAACTATGAACCCTCGTGAAGTTTCTCTGAGAATGTAACCCTAGTCACCCAAGACAATATTTTGTTACAAAGTTGATGTTGTCCTCACTTTTAATCACATGCTGTTATTTGTATTTCAGGTATCCTCAAGATTACACATATTTCATTCAAAATGTAAGTTATCTTCAAAATAAAAATGCTCTGCACAAAACATTTTTTTTCTGCAAACATTTTACTTTTTCAGTTGGAATTATGTCTGTCTTCCTCTAATCAACAAATTAATTTCAACAAATTTAAATATTACATGAGAATTTTTAAAAAATGTTTCTTTTTATTTGTTATTTATTTGTTATTACTTTTTTGACAGTTTACTGCATTCCAGTACAATACTGTAGTTCAACCAGGTAGTCAGGTATGTTTTTTTTTTTACTACTTTTGATTCAACAGGGTTGAAGTATTGGTCTAACCAACTAGTACATACAGGACACCAAGCAAATGTGTTAAGGGAGCCAGGGATGTTGCCTCTTAACCCGCTGCCGGTTAATTTTCATACCAGCAGCTCAAATTGCCCTTGAAAACAAAGATATGGGCTTATTTTGAAGGTGCAGTTAATTGAAAAAGACAGCATGACTAATAAAAAAGCTTGCTCAGCTTTTGCTCATATAAATCCCTGGGAACCACATGACTCCTTAATATGTCGAAGTTGTCACTAATTCCAAAGACTTTGTCACCAGATTTACTTCAGAAAGCCGGTTTTACTCTGCTATTATGAGAGTTAGGCTCTCCAGAATGATATTGAGAATTTTCATTGCAGGTGCCACTGGATAGTTATAATTCTGCATTACGAAAATCCAGTCTGACCTAATGTATCTGTTAACTATTAGGACGCTGCAAAGGAACTTGATTACTAAGAAACGGCTTGAAATCCAATATGGCATCTTCAGTTGTAATATTTTTCTTTATCGAATGTGTGCTGAATTTTCTGAAACAAACAAGGACCTTTGACTGCCCATCAATGCCACACCTTTATTGTAAAAACACGTTTTCTAAAATTCACAAGGTCTTCATATAAGAAGTGTTGAATTCTAATTGCCAATTTGCAAGCAGCTTTCAGGTTTTCTGGATACTTTGAAATATAACTTGCAAATTGCTTGTTTTGTACTTAGGCATCCTTTGAATATGCATTCAAGCCTCACGAGTCTTTTGGCGGACGACCATTTGGACTTACCATTAACATGATGTACAAGGATTCGGTGAGATATTCATATCAAAATAGATTAATTTTATCTCTAGTTCATACACCGAATGCAAATATGGCAGATCTCTCGGTCGGCCTGGGTCTAGTTGCGTGAAAGCAAGGCTAGTGAGGCCTCGAGAGTTTTGTTTTGACTGCACGTCTTAGCGATTCAGTTGATCAATATGGTTTCCTTCTAGTTGTTACGTGCTTAAGAGCCATCAAAGGGGAGATTTAACTCCAGCAGAGATGCCCTAGACGAAAGTTTATTATCTTCGCTTTGGCACGGTTCTTTACCAAGAAAGAAATGGATTAAAGCAATTCGGCGTGGCAAATGGAGGCACTTTACTATCACGGAGTTTAAAAATAAAAGAACGAAAGTGTGCTCGCTTCACTTCAGAAGAGAAGACTCACAAAACTATTAGAATGGGTGAATAACTGAAAGATTCATGGTTCTGTTTCAAGTTTGCTTTGTCCGTTCTCTTACTAAGGAAAGGGAAACATCCTCGAGAACGAGTGAGTCCGTCGTCGCAACTTACCTATCTTAAGGCGCTCTCAGGGACACAACGACAGACAACAAGGCCAAATGTTTTCACAGTCTTCACGATCCTGTGTTCAAGAGTTTGAGCAGTGCCATAAAAGAAGCAATTTTTGGAAAATCACTGTTAGTTTATCTCGAAACCATTCAACAAGTTGCTAAAATAAATCACGCGCAAGGTCAAATACAATGCTCGAATACTTGCACGCTCTTTCTCTGCCAGAGCCTTTTTCCTTCTTCTTACTTGCTCAGTTGACAACGGTTTTTTCAGTGCACTTTGGTCAAGGACTGTTCTTGAAATATGTCGCTTTCTTCTGGTTCTTACATAGTTTCACAGGCCACGCTTGTAGGATTAGCAGGCGATTGTTATTGTTGTTGTTATATTTTAATGCAGCTGTTTTCAGCGTGAAATCTAAAAGATCTTACAGTCCACAGCGGATGCTCCCGTTCTCGAGAATGTTTACGTTTTGTTGGATAAATAACACACCATAAAAACATCTTGGAACAGCACCATCCCTTGTGAAAATTATTTCATTCAAATACTTTCGTGAGTCCTCTTATCTAAAGCAAGTGAAGTGAGCACACTTTCGCTGTAAAGTGCTTCCCATCGCCGCGCCGAATCGCATGAATCCTTAACTTTCTTTTTGAAAAGATCTCGGGAAAGTAAAGGCTATTCCAGCTAGAGTAAAATCTTCTTTTTGGTGGCCCTCAGGCATGCAACAATTTGAAGCAAACCATATCGATCGACTCCATCGCTAAGACGCGCAGTCAAAACAAAACTCTTGAGGCCTCACTCCCTAACGCCGAGAGGTCCGCCATATTTGCATTCGGTGTATAGCCTGAACAACTTGTTCCCCATTAGCTTAGCTGGTGGAGTGTCCACATGCAGAGCAGAAGTTTGTAGGTCAAATGTTAACCATTCCAGCAACCAGGTTCTGAGTTTTTCTATTCCTGATACTAATGCTTATTTTGTCCATCAGGAAGGCAAATCCTTCATGGATGCAGTATTTAATGAGACCATCAACATTACAGAGAGTGATGAAGGAATAGATGGCGAAACGTAAGGACTCACTTCTATCATTCCATACACTGTACATGTAACTTCTGTAGTCATTTTTTTGTTGTTGTTGTTGCTACATGTACTATGCACTATGCTAAGTGAATATTTAATAGTAGGAAACTATTCCCATGCATCAAATTTTCATCTAAATTAAAAACAGACAGACATTTAGATTTGTCCTTTCCTTCGACAAAAAATTCTGAAATGGGCCTTTTACATTCAACAACTTGTTCTAGATTACAGTTTCTTGCCAATGGCAAATCTTGATTTTGTGATGAAATTACCGGTATACATAGAATGATGTTAATTTTGCCTTGTGCAAAGGAATGATCTTGTTTTAAATTTCATCTGTTTCAGCTTCTTTTTGTACGTGTTCCTGGCTGCAGTTGGCCTTTTGTTGGTTATGGGAGGTCACTATGCCCTGACATCAGTCAAGGTACATCACCATTTTTACTGTTTTTACTATTCAGTGCTTAGGGAGCTACTTTAATTTACGCTGTTGGCCAAATTTACTGATTGACCACCAACTGAGTGAAAAATAATGTAACAGCAAAAGAACATTTAACAAGGCAGCAAATACTAAGGAAGCCATGTGTGGATTAACAGAATTGAAGAAGATCAAAAAAGAATGTGTTTTGGGTTTTCGAAAACCATTCAGCCCATCAGTTTTTCAAAGTTCATCTTTCTTCCTTGAAATTTACACAAGACATGTTTGCCATAACACTGAAAATTGGGACTGCTAAATTCTCTTTGGGACTCTTGACCTAAGTTCACAAATTTTGTGATTTGCACCAATCACTCCTATTGTCCCAAAAAATTGGCTGTGAAAACCTAAAATTGGTATCAAATGGGTTTGAAGAAACATTGAACGGTTCTGCTTTAATAGACATCGCCTTTTTCACAATAGTCAGGGAGTTTGTTTGGCCATTTGAAATTTTAAAAGCTTTGCTTTCTCTGATAGAAACTTACCGTAACACATTGACAATACAGAGCATTTCCAACCCTGTCTGCTTTTAAGATTTTTGGTCTATTTAATTAAATTAGTGACAGCCCTGGTATTTGTTCTACGTCACCTTAAATGACCAAAAACGGTTAGTATATTCTATGGTCATCACTGTGAATTGTTGTTTTGATGCTGAAACAATGCTTTTTTTGTAATATAGGGAAAGAAACCAGCTCCCAAGCCTGTAGTAGAAATGGGAACACAGCAGAATACTGATATCGACTATGACTGGCTTCCAAAGGAAACAACAACGGAGTTTGGTATGTTTTGTAGCTCAGTGGTAATTTATTTGCTCTTGTAGTCTTTATAGGGGTGATTAGAGTTTCAGGGGCGGATCCAGGATTTTTTTAGGAGGGGGTGCACTCGTCTCTTGCTCTACTTCAACACCAATAAACCACATAGTTTTTTTTTTGGAGAATACCAGTTGTATTAGAAAACTGCAGGTCATCTTAGGGTAGGGGGGGGTGCGCACCCCCTGCACCCTCCCCCTAGATCCGCCCCTGAGTTTGATCCCAACTTGGGAACAGGGGAGGGAGTCTGTGTCCGTGATGTTAGAGTTTTTCTTCAAGATTCATTATTTAAAAAGATATGCAGGAGAGAATGGCTTGTGTTTTAAGCCTCTTACTAGACCCTTGGCCAGTATGATTACCTCCATAGTCTACTGGCTCTGGAATCTTATCATAGACTTTGTAAGGTCTGTTTCATTTGGTAATTGGTTAGGAGGGACATTTTTCGTAGGCCATTTTTGCGACTTTTTGCTAAAAAATAGACTTAACTACAGTGTAAGTCAAAATTGTTGGGACACTTTACAGTCATGAAGATGTTCTTACTTAAACGTTTTGTTTGTCTCTTTCAGCTGGCAAAAATTCCCCGCGTCGTTCACCGAGAAATAGGAGACAGAAACGAAACACAGGCTCTGATGAATAGAAATAAGTTATTAGACTTCTTCAATATAAACTTCATCTATTAAAACACATCCAAGTGTTGCAAAAAAAAAACAAATTGATCAAAACTGAAGCAAATACATCGGCTTGCCAATCTAACTTACACCAGTGTTATTATTTTTCTATCCTCAATGTCATTTCCCTTGATGTACTTGACACACAATAAACGCTCTGTCTCTGCAGAACCCACTATGTCACTGCCTCTCCCTTATTAAAATGTTTCTTAATGTTTGTGGAGTATTCCTCGAATTGGTGCTGCAGTCTCTTAAAAGAATCTTTGTTTTAAGTTCATCTGATATATTGTGTACTATTAAATCAAAAGATCTGTTTTCCTGCACCAGACTAGCATATCTTCTGGTGAAGTACACAGCTGCTGAATACACCAGAACCGTAGTTTACTGTCTGTTGTCAAGACCCTTTTAAAATGACTTGTGTTCACAGAGCTGTGATTAAGAGACGGGGGCGGCTACTATGAACTTGGTCTCCGGCTACTTTCGTAGGGAAATAGAAGAAAAACAAAACCAAAAGAAATCCCTAGCTGTTTGATTGCCCATCTACTTGTTGTATTTACCTGGCAACTTGAAATCTTAGTGACAACCCTGGTTTAGCTTTTTAACCGTCTAATACGCGTTATACACTTTTGGGTTATTCAACTGATGCTATCTTGTGAAACCATAAAATTAATGTAAGATATGTCAAAAGGTTTAAGACAATAATTGAAAAGTGGCATGTGTAGTGACTCACTAGCCTTCGTTTCTTGTGTGTCAAGTAAAAAAATTTTCCACTGTTATTAAGTGGCCTCTCCAACAGCCCAGGAAAGTTCTTGTAAAATGGCTGCAGAACTCAATACGTGTTCTTAATGAACAATTACTATAACTTCAATACTGAGGTTTTTAAACAAAAATATTGAATAAATGCCTTTTCGTAGCAGTTAATTTGGCTCTAGTCCTGCCTTTTTTGTATCGTTGAAAGGTCAAGTCGTTTTTAGTTGGAAGATTTGAATTTACGGAGACGTAAGTACGGAATCGGAGTCGCTAGATTCAGAAAATTTTCATCTTCTTCCAACTCTGCTCATGACTCCGTTGTTTACGATCCAGTGAGGATCAGCTTGTCAGACTCGGAAGCAGCAGGGGAAGGATAAACCAATCATAATGTTTGTTCCTACCCTTTGTGTTTGGTTTAGTTCTACGCCGACGTTTACGCTCGATCCATATCGTCTTGTTTACCGTAATTTGAGTTAGGGTCAAGGTGCTGATGACATAAACTCAAATTGTTTTTTGTTCAAGTGATTCATCTCGAACCCCTACATACGTAACATAATTAACTTTACCTCCTCACATTTACAGTGTTTCTTTCAGTAAAATACCAGTTGCGGATCCAGGGGAGCGTCCCCTCTTATTTTAGACCAAAAAAAGGTGTGCGTGTTAAAGCGAGCTGTGAAATAACTTTCAAAGTTTATCGAAACTATCTAATGCTAACATCAATCGTGCTTGTTGAATTGGCGGAGACAAAGGAATTAGGAGAAGCATAACACTCGATCACGAACAAATTTAATGATATAGTTACAAACAAAAGCAAAAAGTCTAGGCCACACTGAGAACAACTGTAAGCTCTAGGAAGCTAACTCATCAAACCTTGTACCTCAGTACCCTATATCTCTTAAGTTTATATTTGAAGCTCCTGGTGAAGCTTTGCGTTCTCGAAGCTTCGCCGCTTATTTGCCCCCTCGCCAATGAGGCTATGAGATGAACTTGTGTGCGAAATTCTCAAAGTTCCTCCAACCACAGGGCACCCACACACTCTGCCCACAACATGTTTGTGAAACCGATTTTATTGTTATTTTGTAGTAAATGTACTGTATTTACAGTTTGCTTCATCTTTAGCGGTGTATAGGTAAATACAGGAAAATATGTGCATGTATCAAAGCTAAATAAACCAAAGATGGACAACCATGCGTGGGATCTCAACGGCCTCTGGGTTAGTGGATTAATCATTGATGGTGTTCATTTTTTGACGGAGAATCGACACATCTTATAAACTGGGCACAGGCCTGTGCCCAGTTAGTCGGTCAACTTTGGTATTCGGGTCACAGAGCATACTCAAGACAGCTCAGTCTTGACAGATCTTTTACCTCTTATGCTTGATACGCATCAGTTAAATCAGACGCATCCGCCACGCCTTTGTTGAATGAAAGCAGACCTCAAAGACCAAACTATAAAATGGAAGCTTTTACATCGTGTAAGGAATTGTGGAAGCCTAAAACCTTCAACAAGTTCAGTTTTACATTTAATGTTGTTTGGATTGTAATCGGAATAGTATTGTTTGGAGTGTTTCATGACGTGGAAATCAACGAATCGAGGTTTGATTTCCGCTGTGATGTGAACTCCGCCATGGTCGACAAGGACTTTATCCGAGGAAAGTGTTTGGTGCTTTACGAGAAGGTTTACAACAAACTCTCTGTTCCTCTTTACGGTTTTGTGATTGTTGTCTTCTTTCTACCTCTGATTGTTTGCGTTATATATTCCCAGTCTGTAAAATCAAGAATTCGTCAACTTGAAACAAGAAACACAGTTGAAGAAGAAGCGCAACCGGTGAACGCAAGACCGCAAAGAAAGCTCTTTGCACTTTACGTTTGTCAACTTGCCATAAGGCTTTGTCTCGGGATTATTTTTATCGTCGTTCTACTAACTGAAGTATTTTATCCTCGTGAATTTCCATCAGACTTTAAGTGTAACCTCATGAGAGAAGTCAATCAAACAGCGAATTCAACTGGGAACACACAAACTCCAATTTATGAATGCAACAGCCAGAGAGCGTATAAGAAAACCTTTTGGGTGTATGCTGTAAGTGGGGCGAGTGGACTCCTTGCAATGGCCCCCTTGATTGAGATTTTGTTTATCTTGTCGCGAGCGAGAAAAGGAACAAAGTTTATGGACGACTTACAGTTTTATTCTGATCATCTTAAAACAAATGACTATTCCCCGGAAGCGCTGCGGCTGGAACAGTCACATTGGGGACTTTCAGTTCAGCTGCAAACTTCAATCAGGCGGATGAAAGAAAGGGTCACAAAAAACACTAAGCAACTTAAGGATCTCTTTTCACCTTACAGACCAAACCCTGGTGAAGGCAATAAACCTAAAGATCTTAAACTCGACCAAATTTTTACTAATTTAATCATTTATCCTGGGAGAGCCTATTATGACTTTCCTAAAAACAGGCGGGAACAGTTGAAAGTGTATCCCAAACCAGAAAATAATTTACGGCCAACAAGACCCGGAGATATTGTTGATGTGCAGCACAAAAATATTCTTATTGTCGGTCGCCCTGGAATTGGAAAAACATTGTTTTGCACGAAGTTTATGCGCGACTGGGCATCCGAGCGCTTATTCGACGAAGCGCATACACAATTACGATATGATGTCGCTTTCCTTTTCAAATTTAAAAGACTGAACTCTACAGCAGACCTTAACCTTCGAGAACTACTAAATCTTTCTGAATTTTGTTCAACTGTGGATGATGAGCTCTGGAACTACATTCTTGAAAACCCAAACAAAGTACTTTTTATTTTCGATGGAATTGACGAATTCTCTGCCAGAGAAAACATAAATAAAGACGACTCAAGAAATGCTCAAGCCAATATTGAAGAGAAAATGCCTTTGTATGCTTTGTATAAGAAGATTGCGTCTGGAAAACTCCTTGAGGGAGCCACTGTTTTAACGACTACAAGACCTACTGCTGTATCATGCTTAAGGGATCTCGAGTTCAGTAGAGTAGTTGAAATTCTTGGATTTTCTTCCCAGCAAGTTGAAAACTATGTAGGGAAGTTCACAGATGATGACAAGGGTGCGAAAGAAACAGTATGGCAACACATCAGCAACAACGTTAACCTCTTTTCATTATGCTACATTCCTGTTAACTGTTTCATCATTTGTTCGTGTTTGCTACACATTCTGAAGAACTTACCTGCCAATTCCTCTCATGCTTTAGCTAGCCTACCAACAAAGCTCACCCATATATACAGCTTCGCCATTAAGCTATTTTTCTTCAGGCACAGTGACAGATACCGCAATGAAACTGTTAGTCAGGACGAATTTTTTAAACCGTTTGATAACTTGGCTAGACAGGTGCAAGAAGATTTCAAAAAACTTGGAAGCATTGCTTTCAAAGGAATTGAAGAAGGGAGACTAACGTTTGAATCTGATGAAGTTGGGAAACTGGAAGATTGTGGCCTACTCCATCGTTTGCCTGATTTAAACACTATGGCAGAGCGACCAGACAGAGGACCTAAAGCTCAATACTGTTTCCTGCATCTTACTATGCAAGAGTTTCTTGCAGCGAAGCATATCACAGATACAATGAATAAGGAAGAATTGCGAAAATTTGTTTCAAGTCACATCGAGGATGGTCAATGGGAAGTAGTGTTGCAGTTTGTAGCTGGGCTTCTCAGTGACCGAGATGAACAACTGACCGATATTTTCATTAACCTTCTGCCAATGTCGACAGACAAGTCCGGCATGGTAACCTGCTGGCCAAGTAAGAAAGACAAACATTTAGCAATGACGTTATGTCACTGTTTATATGAGATCGATGCAAGGGATTCAGCTGTACAAAAAAAAATAAGAGAGATTGGTTTTAATGCTTTAGTGTTGAGGAGCTGTAAGTTAGGACCTGCTGATTGTACTTCAATAGTCAATTTTCTTAAAATGCATGATGAAATTTTAATGATTGATTTAAAAGATAACAATATTGGCTCCCTCGGGTGTAAAGAAATATGCAAGTTGTTAAATAGGGGTGATAGTGGTAGTAACTGCAAATTAAATAGCTTAAACCTCGTCGAGAACGATATAAGCGATGAAGGAGTAAAGTGTTTGGCTGAAGCACTAACAGACAGTAATTGCAAACTTAAAAGCTTAAACCTTTCTAGTAACAACAATGTAACAGATGAAGGAGTAAAGTATTTGGCTAACGCACTGAAGCATAGTAATTGCAGCCTAGAGAGATTAGTCCTCTCTGAAAACAGTATAACCGATCAAGGAGTAAAGTATTTGGCTCAAGCACTAAAGCACAGTGACTGCAAACTAAACAGCTTAGTCTGTCAAGGAAATAATATAACCGATCAAGGAGTAAAGTATTTGTCTAAAGCACTAGATCACAGTAATTGCAAACTAACCAGCTACGAGTTCTCGTTGTCTATGGATAATTCGCCCACAAGTTGCGTAGTGCAAAGTGGACTATTTGACTCTTAGGCTATGTTCACTATACCGCCATAGTATGAAAACCCATCCGACATGTGAGTCTCCAGATTCGGGGCCACGCAGCTTCACTCTGTTACAGAAATCGCGCCGAAATCACCCAGTTCCTGCCTGTGTGTGAACAGAAGCCCTATCCGGTGTGGCTCATCTTGCCGACGCATGCGCTATCCGATATAGTGTGTATATAGCCTAATTGTTTTAGAGCGGTTTTCACTTGACTGTCGAAAGGGATTGGTTTTGGTTTTGGTTTTGGTTTTACTACGCCCTTTGGTTGGCTAGTGTATTTACTTTGGTTTTGGTTTTACGACAGTCAAGTGAAAACCGCTCTAGTTCACACCGATAAACTTGCATTCTACCTTTAATTTCACATTAATTTTCGGATTTAAATTTATAAAAAAAAAACCTTTGTTTACACAACTTAAATTCACGAGAGCGTCGTATGTTTTTCACAAAGAAAAAACAGTTAAGTTTTACATTCATTTAAAATGATCTCATTCTCTAAAATCGTGACTACTTAATTTTTTTTTCTGGAAGAACATAATTCATTTAGCAACTTCTTCCTCAGTCTCAAACACATCACAAAAAAACTATTTGTTAATAAAGAAGTTGCCATTGTTTTGTTTCTGTTCAAAACGCCGGCTCCCTACTCAAGCTATTTAGTCTATTTAGCGAAATTTTGAGCACTTTAGCCAATCAGTCTGCACAGCTCGTGATTTCCAATGAAAAGGCAATGAAAATAACCCACAGGCGGCCCAGACTGTGGGAGTTCGTTAGACTTTGAATTTATAAGAGAATGTATGAAAATAAACAAAATACGTCCTAAATTCCATTTTTTGACAAAAAATAGAAATAAAAATTACTCACCTAGTGTTTTGTTTTGTTATTTACTGTCTCTTTGCTTTTAGAGCCATTTGGAAGCCGTTTCATCGACTTTTACGATTTTGAGTTGTACTAATAATAAGAAATATGGGTTGTTAGTTTTCCACGCTTTTGCGCTTTTCTCCCACCCCATCCCCCTCCCCTTTATTCCGCAGGCTGAGTGTAACATCTAAGAACATAAGATTAATTAAACTATTAGTTTCCTACAAATTTTACGTTTCGTGATGGTTTCTTGTTTTTGATTAGTTAAACTTTCCTTTAGCACTGAAGCTCAATATTAAGAATGCCGAGCATCTATTATAATTGGAGGAGGAAGGTTTCGCGTGATCGAGCAATTTGCATTTTCAGTACAGTCTTCGGTTGCCTTCCTGATTTACAAATCACATGCATTGTTCAATTCGTCATGTATTTCGTAAGAGTACTTCCGCTAAGATTAGTTTTCTACCCGTTTTGCAGACAATTCCCTCTTCTTTGCATTCTTCACAAGAAACCACACATTCAGTCCCGTTTAAAAGACAATTCAGAAGCGTTATATCGATTAAAATGTTTAAAGTATAAATGTATGCTGTGTTTTTAAACAAAACGGCCTTCCATCTAACCTTTAGCAAGAAGACCTGGAGTCGGGGGTGAAGACTTCCTAATCTCGTACCCAGATCTCACTCTGTTTTACACGGGCCGTGGGAGGTCTGGGTACGAGATCAGTAGTCTTGACCACCGATAGGGATGTCACAGGCTGACGACACATGCGCGTAACCAACTTCCGGTCAGTTGGTATCGGTATTGGTACCCGATCTTAACTTCCCTATTGTCTGCATGGCTGCACTACCTTGCTGCTGTCGTTATCATCCGTGGTGCTTCTCCATTGCCCGATCTGTCATAGCAGCCTACAGGAAACGAAACTTAACCGTCTAGTCTAACTCGGAACTCCTGTGCTTCGGTGACAAAATTTAATGATTGAGCGGTTTTATCAATTCCTCCTCAGTTATCTGATTAACTTTTTGAAAGTCGACAAAGGAAAAAAGATTCGGGTCCACTAATCCTACACTGAATTCTGTGGATACATGGCACCAGGAGCCCATCATGATGGGCTCCTGATGGCAGAGCTGGTTTCAGAGCCATTCCCTCTGTGGCTTTGTAAAGTAGGAACACCTGGTTATCGGTACCATCAGCACATACCCTAAATATATGGCTTATGTAATATGGGAGTACCGCCCCCCTTCCCCCCTTCCCCCCCCCCCCCCCCCCCCCCCCCCCCCCCCCCCCCCCCCCCCCCCCCCCCCCCTGCGCCCCACCCCCGCCCCCGATCCCCCCTCCCCTGGCGCGCTGCGGCCGGCGTCGAGTCGCTGTGGCGTGGTAAAGTAGGAACACCTGGTTATCGGTAACAGCAGCCACTACCCTAAATATATGGCTTGTGTAATAAGGGGGTCCCGCCCCCCTCCCCCCCTTCGCCCCCCCCCCCCGCCCCCCGCCCGGGCCTTATGAAGACGACATAGCTGTCCATGGCTGTCACTGCCAGGGTGATATAGCTGGGCGCATGGAGTAGGTACTGGCAGGACTGGCCATAACACCACGGAGTTAGTAGTGTGTGCTTTATTGTTGAATTTGGTCTGGTTCTTGTTTGAAAAGTAAGCATCAAAGCTAAGGAATACTGGCATGAGAAAAGCACTGGGATCGAGACGCTTAACGTTTGGTGCGCATGGGTGTTTACATGGGTGTCCTGTGCAAATGATTCAGGTCGAAGTCTGGGTCGAGACGAGTAGACGAGTCAAATATGGCGGACGAGCAGGGCGAGCGCGACGTGAATTCGAGCAGAGTTGTAGAAGGTTAGAAAAACAAACCAGTATATACCTCAATCATTAATGCATCTTCCTCTAGTTTGCGTAAAAATCTAGAGGGTATAGGTACCGTTATATGGGAGCATCGTTCTTAAATGTGCGAGCATTTCTTTCAATAATCAGATGCAAAAAGGCCGTTGATCAATTTGTGACGTCCTGCTTTATGAACCAATCAACTTTATACTTTAAAACCTAGGCCATTTTAAATAGTGTTTCTTCACTCCACTTCCGAGGCCTGTTGTTCTATAGTCATAGAATATCTGTTTAAATCAAGTGGCAAAGTGACTGCGTATTCTGCAGTCCTTACAAAGAAGACATGGATTTCATGAATATATTACCATGTGCTCGGTTTACAGTCTTCCATGAAGTATAGACATGATTGTAAAAATAGTCTTTGTCAGTGATGAAATACGTACAAAAATACCCCAGACACCGAATTACGAATCAAAGAAAATTTGAATTTTGGAAGAAAATGGTATAAATTCTATTAAAGTACAGAAAAGCTCATAACTCGATTTTATCTGGGGGATATGGTGACCCATACGGGAGACCAGGAGATCGGTTTATATCTGGGAGACTCCTGCATAATCCGGGAGAGTTGGCATGTATATGGGTTTATGGTCAAGTCGCCCAAAAGTCATCTTGCCCAAAGTTATGTTGCTTGAAACCAGAGTTATCTTGCCCGAAAATTTATCATGTGCGGTAACATCCTAACATGTTTTGTTACATCAAGATATATTGCTCATTTGACGCGCTTGCTTCGTTTTATCAAGGCTAAAAGATCAACATATGTTACATATTCATCTTGCTTGTTTCATCTCTTCATCTCATAAAGAAAAGTTTATGATACACCTTCATCCTGCTTGTTTCGTCTTACCATAGCATCATTGCTTAAAGAACGAGACAAAATTACACAATTATCCCACTTGTTTTGTGTCATTATTGCTTAAAGAACAAGATATATTATGTATACTCTTTAATAAAATTTTGGGCGACTTGAGTAAAAATTTTGGGCAGCATGACTCTGGTTTCAGGTGACATAACTTTGGGTAAGATGACTTTTGAGCGACTTGACTGGTTACCATGTAATGACTAAGTTAGAGCAACTATTCTCTCAGTCCTATTATTATTCATGATTATTGGATCACCGGAATCAGAGAGAGCAGCATTCAATGTTTGCCAACTTGTTTGATATACTCTTTTTATTGTTATTTTAAGCTGCGCAATAATGTGACACCGGTATACAATGCATATATGTTGTGGTTCAAATTCATCCTTGGTTTAAATTTTAATTTCTTTTGTTTCAAAATCATTATCGTACATTACCATACCCAAAAACAAAGGAAAATATAATTTAAACCAAGGAAAAATTTGAACCACAACATATACACATGATGCATTTGCAATACATTAGGCCAAGTAAAAAAACAACAAAACAAAATAAATTTTCAATGTTTCTTGTCTGGATTTCTATAACAAAAAAAGAGAGAGCTAGCGGGTGATCTTTTTTATTATTTCTGATTTTTTATTATTATTGCAATTTGAATGCTATCTTTACAAATTATTATAACACTCCCCCAGGGATAATTTGGAGATTTTTGGCCAAATGTTAGGCAATGAAATGTTAAACAATAATTATTGTTATTATTGCTTGGGCATTTCCATGGGAATGCCCCAGCTTTAAAATGGGCTTAGTTTCTCCTTCTGGCACAAATCACCCTCTGGTGCATACAGCACTCGTGCAAGATATGAGTATGTGTAGAGAGCGTAGAACACATGGCTGCCTGAGAAACAGTGAGCAAAGGCATCTGTATTCGGTGTATAATCTCAGTGGTCGCAGGAATAAATTCTGTCATTTCTTATTCGCAAAAACTTTATACCAAATGTACACTCATCTCTAGACCTACAGTAAAAGATGGAAAGCAAACAGTTCAGTTCAATCAGTGACTGAATAACTCTTCTGAGTGAACCTTATCAAGAAGCCTTCTCAGAGTAATGAGCTACCAACATAATTTGAACAGAGTCTTTCTGATCAACTCAGGAGTCTTGTCTTAGATATTGGGAATGCCTCCATATAAGCTTAGTTGCCTTGCAGAAGGAGAAACAGAAATGAATTGAGTACTTCCCAATTAGCTTTTGTGTAACGTAATATTCTTGCTCTTTGCTTTGATGTCATGGGTTTTATCTTCCTTTGTTTTTGTGACCTCTACCATACAATTATTGCAATCTAATACTTTAGTCATTCATATGTTTCCAGATGTTTATGTATATAGACTCTTGTTATTTCAATTTACGTTGCCTTTGAAACGGGTTGTCAGAAAGTTTTGAAGTAGATGGCTGAGTTGTGAAAGTAAGCGGCCAGTCCAGGGATATTTTATTTAAAAAAGGCCATCCGTAAAGAAATGCCAAGCAGAGTAGCCAGCCGATACTAACCAAGTAGGCAGCAATTTTCGCCGACAGCCGGCTACTTTTGAAAACCCTGCTTTGAAGACTGTGATTTCCTAGATTAAGTTTTTTCATATGAATTTTTCTGTACGGACGCCCGATGCAGTTTATATGCGTCTAGTCATGATGATTAAACTCAAATTTGGTGTATTTTGATTCATGTTTTAAACAACACGATGCGTCATATGTTATATCACAATAGGTAGGGTGGATTAAAAAATGTCAATGTAGGACTCAACTCAGTATTTAGTAAATGCTCCGTTTTATGAAAAGTAAGGGCTGTTACATAGAATTGTAGAATAAGTGGTGCTGATAGTAACGTCTGTTGGCTTTTGTTTGTTCCAGCTTTTCCAATAACAAATAATTAAAAAAAAAAGTGATGGCCCCAAAAAATTTATCAGGCAGGGACAAGAAGCATTTCTTTTTGTTTATCTTTTGCTTGGCCTTACTTTTTTATGTTTTTTTAATAGGGTCACTGTATTCTGACCTTCATGGAAGTGTAAGATACAGTTTAGGACAAATGGGACTTCAGGTAACTTCTCTACTAATCTGCACAAAATACTATGTTCCTGATATTACTCAATTGTATATTGTTTACTTTAACCATTTTACTCCTAGACTGCATGGTGGAGTCTTGTAAAGGGGTTCGAAGTTCTGAGACTTTGTATGAAATCCTATAATAATTATGCGACCATTCAAATAAAATCTCTCCAACTGTACTATTTGTTCTTCCCCAATTAATTTTCCTGAAATAAAATTTGCTAAAATTGTTGACTTCATAAAAGGGAAAAGGTTAATAAGTTTCTATTATCTCCTTAGAAACGAGATGCAGTAAATGCCTGATTTTTAAATTGCAGTGAAAAGTGGAGACGATTAGTGTGAATATTATGAGGCTCAAAATAACAGTTTTGACTAGGGGAAGATTCACCAGGTTCATACCCAACCATCACGGTTTTGACAAGAAACTTTGTTCCACTTTGTTTCTCCTCACCCAGGTGTATTAATGGTGGCTTTGGTGCAACATATCATAGAGGGTAACCCTGTAAATTAATAGACTGCTATCCAATTCAGCGGGGAGTAGCAATACCCATCTGTACTTTATGCTGCAAAACCGCAAAACCAGGGAGAGCTCACGCTTTGTGAATCTCATGGCTGATTTGTGCCTTTATCTTGACTATGGAAGGGAAATTATTGGGTTTTTGTACTTATTATCAGGAGGTTTGAGAGATCAGTATACCAAGTTGTATATTTAAAAATCAAAGTTTTTTCAATTGAACTTTTTTCATTACAAGACTGGTAATACTTTTGTATGAATATCTTATTTGATTTTAGCCACTGCAGCGCTCTGCAAAGAAATTTGTTACTTCATTTTTAAACAATGTTGTGAAAAAAAACAGTGAAGATGTAGAACAAAGACTGCGACATAAGCCTGTTATCTTGGAGGGATTTCAAACAGCACAGCGACGCAAAAGACCCAAGAAAAAAGAAATGTCTGCGAGAGAGAAAAGGATTCGTGGGATTTACAACATATCACCTAAAGATCAAAGGTTAGGATTTAGTTTGATTTATGCTTGCTCTTAAGACTAGCCTAATTCTCAGATGGTCAAAGGGATCTCTCCTCTTTCTATCTGATACAGTCAAACCCTGCTTTACTGACACCTCATTAACCCATTTGCGCCTGGAGAATTTGCCGAAAAATGCATTTTGAAGATAGTTGAGTGGTTTTCTGGTCACTGTCGTGCCATAAAGCGCTAAAACTTACCACAAAACTGTTTACAGGTCATACACTTCACGGCCTTCTGATCCAGATGCAAACCGTTTGCTTGCAAAGTTTGGGCATGCGCAAAAAACAAAATTTTGAGTTCTTGGGTTTAAAAGTGACTCGGCAGTCTTGACTTTTACTTTGCGCTTTCTCTCCTCCCCTCTTTTTTCGCTTTTCTTGCCTCATGTTTTTTCTCTTGCTGGGCATTTAGTAGGCTTCATTTTTGTGGGAAGAGTTTTTAGGAAAGCTTTTAGGATCTTAGGATTAGGTGAAAGGAAAGGTAGGTGGGCAATGGAACAAGATTTTCATGGAGATTTTCAGGTCAATGTTACATGGTTTTTGTCCTTTTTCTCCAGTGTCCTTGACTGAATTGTGCTCATTCTGGTATGGTTTGAAAGATCTCTTCACTCTGCACAAGTTAGTGGACAAAGTTGCCCTTGACCGTTAAAACTGATGACGTCACAAGCGGTAGAAAGGATGTGAATCCGCACGGGCGGATACAGGCGGCTCATGTCCGTATTGATGGGGTTTGACTGTATTACCTTTTTGGATATCTTTTTGATATCATGGAACATTGTTTATTTCCACTAATCACAACGCATGGTGTACTTTCTCGGAAATCTGGAATTTGTTGAATGTGACTTTGCACAGCATAGTAGCAAATGGTTTACATAATACTCACATGAGCCAAATGCCAACATTTTGATTTTACTTGCAACTGAAGAGGAAAAATTCAAAAATTGTGATCACCTATCAGCAGACCGGCAACTCGCATAATTCACTTCTGCACAGCAACAAAACTTGAAACTAAGAAAATTTAAGCTACTGCCAAGTGGCTAGCATACACAAAAATGGTGGCTAAACTACATAATTTGCAGAGTGTGTATAATATGCGAGCCAGCGAGCCAGTGAGTCATGTGAGTCAACATGCGAGCCATACGAGTCAACAAGCGAGCCATGCGAGTCGGCATAAAATAACTTTGTTTTTAACGTAAACTGCAAAAAAAACTAGCCTCTGTAACTAACGTATTTATTCCAAAGGCATGTCCTTTAAAATTCGCCAAGAAAATTGGAACCCTTATTCAGCCGTAATAAAAAAGCTTTACGCTTCAAAAGAGGTCAAAGAAAATGCGCTTGCATCAGAGGGCAAATCCTGCCGACCAGAAAACAATAACTACAGTCAATCGATATGTATGTCATGACCTCTCAGTGTGAAACATGCGGCTAAAATCACATTTGCTCAGTATAAATGCAGAACCTTCCAGAGCATAATGTACCCAGCAGAAAAAAAAACTTTATTGGAATAAGCAGCATTTTGGCATAAGGTAAAAGTCGTGTAGGCCTACCACCCCCTTTTATTGATAGCGAAAACTCGTGCCAAATAGCCAAAAGCCGCCAAAAGCTGAAGAAAGGAAAATGGACTGGGAACTAACATCTGTCTCCCATGGCTCACATGATGACTCGCATGACTCGCTGGCTTGACTCGCATGACTCGCTGGCTCGCTGGCTCGCAGTTTCTCAAGACCCTAATTTGCATGGAGTGCTTACCTAAAAATGCTGAGCTCAGAGGATGCAAAACTCACAAGTCATTGCAGAGTGACTGATTTTTATATGCCATTCCTGCTGAACATTTACACAACTGGCACATCTAAGAGGGTTTGTAAATGTTTTAAACGACTTTGAAAACATTATCATCAACTGGTTAATTCTTGTTATTATACGTCAGACTCACTATGAAAAATCTGATTGATTGTGAACTTGACATGATAAATGCAATATCTGCTGCAGATATTGCATTTATCATGTCAAGTTCAACGTCTGCCTGGTTACCAAGCCCCTTGTAGTGTTCTCCTCAGAAACAGAATGGCTGAATGTCTTCTTTTGCCTATTGTTTAAAAACCTTGTGTCTGTATTATCTGCCTCAGCCTTCAGCTTCGGCAGATAACACAGACCACGGTTTTGATAATTCATGATATCATGCTCAACCTCATCCAACAATTGTTTATTAAGAAGCCCTTTTGTTTGTCATAAAATTGATTGTCATATTTTTGTTGGATACGTAGACCTGCATTAAGCCAGGGCTTCTGATATTTCGCGGAAAAAAAGCAAAATTTCGCGGGATTTTCAGGGGCAAATTCGCGGAAAAATCGGTCGATTTCGCGGGAAAAAAGTCAAAATTCGCGTAAAAATCGGCTGATTTCGCGGGATTTTTGCAGGAGAAAAGTCAAAATTCGCCGGAAAATCGTTCGATTTCGCGGGATTTTAGCGGAAAAAAGTCAAATTTTGAGGGATTTTCAGGGGCAAATTCGCGGAAAAATCGGTCGATTTCGCGGGAAAAAAGTCAAAATTCGCGTAAAAATCGGCTGATTTCGCGGGATTTTTGCAGGAGAAAAGTCAAAATTCGCCGGAAAATCGTTCGATTTCGCGGGATTTTAGCGGAAAAAAGTCAAATTTTGAAGGATTTTCAGGGGCAAATTCTTAGAAAAATCGGCCGATTTCACGGGAAATTTCGGGGGGAAACTTCGCCAAGAAACAATCAGTAAAAAACAGCCGATTTCGCTGGATTTTTTTTGGCAAATTTCGCTAAAATCGATCAATTCTGCGTCGATATGACCAGCATTGTTTAACGTTGTTTTTTTAACAGGGATAATCATTTGCTCTTTCAACAACAGTTTCCTCGAGAAATGAGCGAATGCTAAAGCTATTAACATTATGGTTAGTGCCCTCTTGCAGTTTTTCGCAACATTAATCTAAGAACGCCTGGTAGTTTTGAGACATTGTTTACTCGTTGCAGTGACGAAGTTTCAAGATAAGTTTGGACGTTTGGGGTGAATAAAACAGGTCTAATGGCCAAGATAAGTATTAAATATGTTTTGCCAACAAGTATTTGGAAATATTTCTGGCAGATTTCGCAGTATTTCGCGTTTTTGGGGGAATTTCGCGGGATTTCACGGAAATACCTGAATTTCGCGGGTCCGCGACCGCACGAAATATCAGAAGCCCTGTTAAGCACTAAAATAGCTTTGCTTGCTTTTCTTTAATGTTATACTAATTAGAAGGGTTTGAATCTATTTCAAGGTATGAGATGTATGTTCCTCTTCACAAGTTATGGGAAGGTTATATGCAGAGCATGCTTAATCTACATCCAAAAAGGTATGGTCAGATATCATACTACATGTAATAAACAGGAACCCTGGTTTACAAAAATGGCTAGCTTACCAGAGGTTTAATACATTGATAAGGTGGTTATGGTCCCACGAAATTAGAACAACGAAAAACTTTTAATCAATCAATTAACCCATTCACACCTCACCTGGAATTTTTAAAGAAACAACTTTTAATGTATTCAAGCCATTTTGTGGTTATTATCTGACCGAAAAGGACCAAAACTAGGGGTGATGAATGGTCCATTAAAATTTTTAACTGCTCGCAAAATTTTACCTTTGCTTGATTTGCTCACAAAATTTAAACGAGTGCTCGCTTGCTTGTGCTCCCCAAATTTTTGCGTTACTTGCAAGCTCGCAAAGCAAATTTTTTATTTCTGCTCGTGCTCTTGTTAAGTTGAGCATCACACTGTTTTTTTGTTCCTGTTTACAGCTTCTGAAGTTTGGGCATGCACAGAAGGCAGAAATATTTTTGAGACATCTTTTGGGGTTAAAAGTGGCACTGCATCGTCAACTTTCACCCCTTTCTGCTATTTTTGTTCTTTCCCTGTTTTGTGTCATTTTTATTTTTCTTGGTAATAGCTAAGCTTCATTTAAGTGGGAAAATTTTGCATAATTCTCGCGCAAGAACTGTGAATCATTTTGAACGAAGTAGGGGTGGATGGTGGAAAAAATGTCTTGAATTTTCTGGGCAAATTTATGTGGGGTTATGAGATTGAAATACTTTAAGACTATTAAAATCCCAACCAAAGAGGGTTGATGGATATGGTCCTCTCAGCCTCTTGCTCATTTGTGTATGGTTCTTCCTTTTCATTTGGGTTATTATTTACAGCAAAGTCTTACTACAGTGCAGTTTGTCATTGTTACTTGAAAACCAGGCTTTCCTTAATTCTTTAAACCCAAAAATCAACATGCATATTCTCCACATCTCCTCAAGGTATTTGAGAGGAGAATTTTATCAACCAAGACTGTTTTTTACTTCTGACAGCCTTAAATTTTATTAAGATCATTGTGACTACAAGGAGAAATTGAATATTGGTTAGTTACTTTTAGGGGGATTAAGGGGTTTAGAGGTTAGGGGAGAGTTGATTTGAAAAGACAACGCTGATGACACTGTTTCTATCATTAGTAATCTAAAAGCTGCCTATCCTAAACTTCTTCGAGCTGATTACCATGGCTGTATCCTGAATGGTAAGTTCACTTTCTGTTTTTCTTTGTTAATATACCACTGCTGGAAAATTTTATGTTTGACTCTGAAAGTGTTTCTTTCAAAAGTGTTGTAATGATCCCAACAGGCTCATTATACATTTCTGGGAAAATGCCCACCTACCCCTCCCCTAAGCCAACATTAACACTTACTTCTCACTGAGAGCAAAATGTTGGCTTAGGGCAGGGGTAGGTGGGTAGTTTCCCAGAAACGTATAATGATCTGTGGATCATCATGTGTTTCTGGGAAACTGCCAACCTACCCCTCTCCAAAGCGAACATTAACACTTACTTCTCACTTAGGACAAAATGTTGGCTTAGAGGAGGGGTAACCAGGTTTATGTGGTAAATACAAAGCGCAAAAAAAAGGTGGGCAAGAAAGTTCACTCAACCCTGTCAGTGCTCTTGCACTGAGACGAGAGTAGCTCAAGTATGCAAACACCAAGTGCTTCGGAAGTGTGGTGCTTTACTTGTTTGGAGCTTTGTTCTTATCTATAGAAGCTTTAAATCCCATTGTAGTGTGGCCAAAACTACTTCAGTACGGGGAATGTTTTGAAGTTTTCCGAACTCACTTCTGAGCTGCTTGAGCTTGTGTTCGCTTTGTCTTCCCCAGCAGAGGTCACATTCTCTCGATGTAGACTGGCGTTTGCAAAGTGGCTACATTTTGTCACTGTTTTTTTACTTAACAGTTTACTTAGTTTTGCAAAGATCTTTGTTGCCCTTCAGCAACAATACCGATGTCTTTTAAAAATATTTTCAGAAAACGACCTGCCAATAGCAACACTGATTAAGACTGTAAGAAATTGTCTAATCTGATTGGCCATCGACAGCCCCGATTAAGCATTTTTGGACAGTTTGATAGGACAGTACACGTCATGTCTAATTCCCCTCAGTAGTTGAACAGAATTTGATGGTACTAAATAAAATTGGAGATTATTCAGGGGCACCCAATGACCGAATTTTTTCCAGATACGACAGAATTGTCTCAGATGTTTTTCCCTATGCTTTAGAACCCAGTTTGGTTAATTTGGGGCTGTCCTAAAAAATATTTATCTGTTCGGATGTCTTAGGGGTACTTTTCTGGTCACGAAAATTTTTTGGTGGCTATTTCATCTTTTCCGAAACTTTAAGCTGTCCTTATGGGTACGGTCGGACGTTCAAGGACATGGACTAGCCGTACTTTCAATAGAAACCTCTAGAACGCTTTGTCTTTATACTGAAATTGTTAGGAGACTTTTGGCAATATCTTGGTAATGTGAAAAACACAACCTCTGAAAATCGCAGGTAAGTCAATAGAAAAACCCCGAACATCTTAGACGAGTGGAACGGTTATGCAGACAATTTTTTAGCCTTTCTTGCGCTTTAGAAATTTTTGGGCAATATTTGCTCCTTCGAACAGTAAGTTTACCGAAAAAAGTCGTTGGGTACCCTTGATTGTTGTTGCAATAAGAGTGATGAGTTAGCCACCAAAAAAAAACAATATTGAGCTTTGGCTGCGTGGGCTGTATGTTGATCGTGAGAGATCTTAACTTTATAAGCTATCACAAATAATCAAATTATTATCTTTCTTTATCGCAGTAAGCCGATCAAAGTGTCCATCCTACGTGGGAACAAGTGGCATTTTACTACAAGAAACAAAGAACGCGTTAAAAATCATAACAAAAGATAACAAACTTAAAAGTAAGTATCGACTCGAGTTGTGCCGCGATGTGTTTGAAAGTACACTCTTGAAAGCATCCTCTCGGAACTTGAAATCTGTTGGTTTAATTGAAAGCCTGGGCGGGGGGGGGGGGGGGGGGGGG